TTGTATTATCGTGCGTTGGGTTTATGAGTGCGCGCGCCTCTTTTGTGTTTTTTTCTTTTTTTTAGCTTAGCAGCTACCCAGCAAAAATCATGTTGAAACTACTGCCAACCGCTTTCAGGCAGCTCATCAGTGCCACTGCCGTCGCTTCCCTCCACCCCCTGCAGACGTAACTGTAGTCGCTCTTAGTCCATTGCTGCGATACGTGAACGTTTTACGTTGTTGCCGACTTGTATGTTTGTATTAAAATACTGCAATGAGCTCTTTATCATAATTATGTACGTATGTATGTATGTGTGTCAAAATGTATGTATGAGTATGTGTGGAATATGCGTATAAATTGTGACGGAAACATTCAGTGCGAATGCCGCCGCATGCACGTCGTTGCGGGGTAAACAAACTGCCGTTGCTCTGCAGCAGCTGCCGGCGTCTCAGTCGGCGTTGCTGCCTCTGCTTTTGCTGATAACACTGCTGACAAACGAATTTCAATCTAAAAGCAATAGCAAAAACAATGAGCTAAGAACAAATCCGTACGGCTTTTATCAGTCAGCCATGACGACGTCGCCGTCGACGCCGTCGCCTTTGGCCGAGTAAGCGTCAGCCTGTTATTTTTGCTCTTCTCTTCTTTTTTTGCCTACTCGCTCGCTTGGTGCACAGCGGCCAGTTCAGTCTGCTCGCTGATTTCGTTGCGTTACGTTTACGCTTGCTTACGTTGCTGCTGTGTTCCGTTCTGTTGTGTTCCGTGTCCGATTTTTCGCTATTTCTTTTGGTCAGTGTCTAGTATTAGATCTAGACGCCAGTCAGTTCGTTAATTTTTAAAAGTGTATGAAACTAAATGGAAATATATCTAAGAAAAAAATAAATAAAAAGGAATGAAGTACCAAATTTAGTTTGAGCTTTGACTCATATCTGAGTGCGTTTGCTTTTGAGCATTTTGCATGGACGTCAATGTGGCATATTTCAATTTTTAGTTTGCTAGCCAAAAATTCCTCGACCCCCAGTTTCGCTGCGTGCCTGTTCTTGAATGTGAATGTCTTTCTGTGCCTGTGTGTGTGTGTATGTGTGTATGAAAGAAAGAAAAAGAGCTTTTGGCTACGCATGTAAATGAATAACGTCAAAAAAAATTAACGCGACAAACATAAGAAATTAGCAAAGAAGGTGCAGCTGAATGCTGTTTGCCTCTAGACCCCTTTCCCTGCCCAAGCCATTGCGCTGTTAGCACGTGTGCAGCATATAATGCTGACGTCGATAAAAAAAAGTAGGGAGAGAGAAAGAGAGACAATGAGTGTAAGAATTATATTTAGTTGAATTCCCGTTTAGTTTTTATGATGTTGCTTCTGCTTTTTCACATCCTTGAGTTAGCTTCTCTTTCTCGCTCTCGCTCACGCACTTAAAGACGCCGCGAGCATTTCTCTCTGTATGCGTTCGTTTTATTTTGAATTTATGTATTTTTATACCCTGAACCCATTTTCAATGGGAAATCAGGGTATAATGGTTTTGTTGAAATGTATGTAACAGGGAGAAGGAGGCGTGGCAGACCCCACAAAGTATATATATTCTTGATCAGGGTGACGAGCTGAGTTGATTTGGCCCTGTCCGTCTGTCTGTCCGTCTGTCCGTCTGTCCGTCTGTCCGTNTATATATATATATATATGCATATGTACATGCTTCTATCTCGTGACTTGTAAATGTTGAGTATATTGACTCCTCTCTGGTCACACAAATTAATATTGTGAAAATCAACTAATAATTGCTATTGAGTGTGGGCTGAAGCAAGGGACGCGCGGTTGGTCACACTATATATCTGTGTGTGTGTGTTGTGTATGTATGTGTGCGTGTGTGTGTGTGACCTCGTGTCGGTGTGTCGCGTGCTTGCGCCTGTGTGTGTGTGTGTGCGGCAGCGGCAGGGAGTGTCATGCGTATTTTGCTGCCTCTGCCACGACGAACGCTTCCTATCAACAACAATCTGAATACGCGCTGCTCCTTTGCTCCGAGTTTTATCTTGTTTTCCGTTTTAATCATATGCGGGTTCCGAGAGACAATCACGTCATTCAGCCTGATACACATATACACATACGCACACTATAAAGTCATTTATGTTAACTTTAGAGCTGAGTCGCAGCTGTGTTCGTGTGTATTTGTGTGGGTAGGCGGCCCATCAATTCTATTGTTATTAATATTGTCTTTTCCTCTCATTCGTTTTGAGCTTAATCAATTCAATTAGCGTGTCCACATACTATATATACATACATATGTAACCAAACAAATATTCCTATATGTAAGTTCTTATCCTTATCAATGGGTAAAACTTTATTAAAGAGTGACTTGATGTATGCTACACGAATAATACCAAAATTTTTCGAATTCATATAATAATATTAGAGATGTCACACAAAAAAATTTGTTTGCCGCTAATTAATAATTGGTCAGCAGCATCACATCATCGACTGCGTCAACTTTGTTTTTGTTCCCATTTTCGTAAGTCAGTTAGCTATCGTGTGTGTTTGTATGTGTGAACAGTAAATAAACTATGACCGGGACACTGAGTCATGGCTGCTCGATGACGTTATGCTGCGCTAAAAGGCAATTTGTCTCGCAAGTGGTTTGAACTAGTGCTGCAAAAATATCGGATCGGAATCGTTATAATCGATATTTTCGAATTTTGGCAAAAGATCGATATGGCTTTCTTAGTATCGATATATCGAAAAAATGGTTATTCTTGGCGTTGGTTTTAACTGTGTAAGAAGCGCATTTATTTAATTTTGCTAAATTGTATACAAATTGATTGATTTAATTTAATTGCAATAGAAAGAAAAAAATGGATCAGTTTTTGGGAAGAAAACGTAAGTACAATTGATATATACTATTGGAAAAGCTTGGAATCATAGCTTGTGTGTTTTAGGCGCGGCGAGGGTTGACTCCGATGAAGAAAATAAGACCGTGGGAGCCCCAAAAAAATCCGAAGTGTGGAAATATTTTGAAAAAGGAAAGGATGGTTGTGCGGTGTGCAGAAATTGCTTTAAGGTCTGCAAAACAAGTGGAAATACCACAAGCCTTAAAAATCACTTAACACGCATGCATCCATCGCTGCAAGAGAGTGAATTGGCACCCAAGTCCGGTAGCATTTTGCACTTCGTAAATAAAAAATATGAGGCAACGTTCTCTGAGAGCGAGAGGATGTTTAGCAAAGCTGGAATGATTGCTAATTCCAGAAGGGCGTCATTAAAACCGGAAACAGTAAACAAACTAATTTTTT